TCAGATACCACAAATGCACGATCCAGAAAATTCTTCTTTCATTCTTGTCACAAATGTATGTTTTCTTCGAAAATACTCAAGTTCTACCAGCTGAGTACTCTACTGTCAAATACCTTTTACTCGCAGTAGTTGCGGAAGGCAAAGTAAATACTCTACGCGTCTTGCTATTGATCGGTAGTTTACGTACGCCTGCAGAAACTGGTTTATGCTTACTCACACTTGACCCGAACGATGAGAGTAAAGGAGGGAAAGTATTTGCGCGGCGATCGGATGTCTTGTTAGGCCCTTTAAATTGAATTGCGCAGGAGTTTAATATGTATGTATAGTACTTATAGTATTTAATTCAATAACAAAACAAAACGCAGGTAATTCAGTTAAAAAATAAAAATCTTATCAGTAAAAAATCTAAGCTTATAGTCTCAGTGTGCTTTGCGCAATGCTGTTAGTGAATAGACTAACATTGCAAATTTGCGTCTTTGTCCTTGTAAATTTTCAGTTCCTGTATTTCCAGCAGTCTTTAAGTTTTCTCTATTTTATATTCAATTTCATTTCTTCTCATTTCTTCAATGAAATAGTTGTGCCTTTTCTTTTCTTCTAGCTTTTCTCTTTTAATTACGTTCGCTTTTTTGATTTCCTCCAACTTTTCTTTTTTCATAAGCTCAACTGCCTTGAAATGTTTCATCTTAAGATCGTATATTTTGTCTAGCCTATAATATGTAAAAAAAAAGTATTTTATTAAGAATACATTTTTGTAAAATGAAAATAAATCGAACCTTTGGTAAATTTTTTTTAAGTTGTCCCGATACTCGTCCTGATTTGCCACTCCAGTCTTTATGTTTGCGCAGATTTCCTTCTGTATTTTTATTTCCTCAGTCAGAGCAAGTTCGGCCCTTTCTTTTTTTGAAACGTTTTTTTTTAGGATGATGCCTTCTTGCTAGTGGATGGCACTTCAGTATTATCTGCAGAAGCTTCTTCACTGACAAATTCAAATGAATCTGCTGAAACAAGGGACACATTTATAGTCGTATAATCTGCATGATTTGCTTCGCTGATGACCATAGATTCATCCGAAGTTTCATTTTGGGTTACATTCAGTAACTCTACTTCTGGGCAGAAGTTTTCATTGCAGATCTCATTCAAGTTATCTTGCAGGCCAAACTTCTTTACGGGCAATCCTTCTACCGACTGCTTCATCCCAATCAATTTAAAAATGGCTTCTTAAAGGGGGGAGAGTACTTTCACCATATGTATGTGGGCTGCCTCCAGTACCTTTTACATTAACAAACTACTGACACAATTTTACATGCATACACCGATTCTCTTTTTGAAACATTGAAATCACCTTTTTCCATTCCACAATGGTTTTAGTTGGGGGGGCCTGCCGCATTCAGCTCAACATTACCCTTCTGCCGAAATCGGGTGAGCTCCTCCTTATTTCCTTTAAAAAATCCTCTCGCAATAGCAGGATTCTCCTCCATCATGTTGACAAGGATTCCCATTTGGGTTTTATTTGTTGTTTTCGACCTTAAACAAAAAATGTATGTCTTTTTCTTCCATTTTATCAAAATACTCACATTTTTGCAGCAAACACCCTTGAAAATTCGAGATGAAATAATTCTAACGGATTTCGAAGAGTTTCCGCACTTTCTTTATATTTAAAATACCTACTTTTCATGTTCGAATCTTTTCGAAGATGTTTAGGATAGGCGGAAAGCGAGATATTCTGCAAAACTCTTTTATTTAGAATAGTAGGATTGCGGAAAGAGAAAAAACTCGTGCGGAAATATAATTTAGGATTGGGCTGTATATTAAGAGAGCCAATGTGGCGAAAAATGAATTTAGCTCGTTTACAAAAAGTATAATCAACTAGGTCCGAATCGCGGAATTCGATATCAAACGTAACTCTTATGGAGGACACGATGGATTCGATAGCATGGGCACTTTATTCGATTCGATTCAAAACGAGTAATCATTTGATCACGAATGCCGCGATTGGGGCCCTGTTTTTGCGATCGATTACGCCGACACACAAAAAAAGTAGTGAAAAAATAGCAAAAAAAAATCGTAATTTTCTCAATTGACTCAAAATTCAGGACGCTTACGAGTCAAACGGACTTCAGATTCGGATTCAGCGGGTTGAAGTACATGTCGGTAGGTGGGTCTGGTTAAAAGCACACGTCACTGTTTTTTATGTGCCAGTGTAATTCATGCACCTTTAACGTTTTCAGCACTAAATAAGTACTTCTGTCATGGATGCATTCCATCTTTAAACCAAAGTACAAATGAATTACAGATTTATTCAGAATTATTACTCTTAGTAGCAGATAAACATATTCCATGCGATTTTACATGCCCACTTAATCCAGCGAACTGCGCAAATCGTTTTCCACAAATTTTGCATACAAATTTCTTTTCCTTATTATGAACGTGTTTGTGTTGACGAAGTAGTTTCCGACTTGTAAATCCTTTATTACAGACGTCACATATTTTGTCCCGCACGTTCCGATGAACGGCCATATGCTCTCTAAGGTTACGGTTATTATAAAATGCCTTTGGACAAATTGTACACTTAACACCAGGACCACGATTTTCGTGTCGCACCATATGCTCTTTAAATTCACGTCGCATTTGGTATCTCTTGCCGCAAATATCGCAAACGTGCGGCTT